ACGGACGTGTCGGGTGAGGGGGGGAAAAAAGAAACCGGATGTATTGTAACCGTGGAATTTTCTTTGTTCATAATTGACGACACATGCGTTATTATTATTTTTTTTTTTTGGTGAAAATGGGAAAAGTTTTTTTTTTTAAAAAAAAGTGGAAGGAGACAAATATTTTTTTTCTATTCTTTGTTTGTTTTGTTTGTTTACTCGTTTTTTTTTTTTTAATTTTTTTTTTATCGACTTTTTCCGTGTAGCGTTTTTTTTTTTTCGCTGCGACATTATTGACTGACCTTTTTTTTCTTTCTTCTCATTATTATTATTATTATTATTATTATTATTATTATTATTATTTTCTCTCTCTCCCTCTCGGAAATTGATGAGGAAAAAAAATGGTTGGGGTTGTTGTTGTTCTTTGTTGGCCGGAAGTTGAAATATCGTCTCGTTTGATTATTATTATATTTTTTCCTTTTATGCGTATAAAAAGAAATACTTGTAAAAGAAGAGGAGGAGAGGGGGAAGGGAAAACTTTCCTGTCGTACTTGCCTACCTACCTACCTACTTACTACCGTCGATATATTAATGCCACGACGTAATACGATTGTAAAAATCGTTTTTTTTGTCGTCTTCCGGAAACCAGGTTTTTAATATAATTTCCTGATTTTTCTCTCTCTCTCTCTCTCTCTCTCTTCCTTCCCTCTCTCTGTCAATGTCTTCCGTTTTTGTCTGTTTCTCTCTCTCTTTTCCTTTTAAACGCGTATCAATATTTCTTTTTTTCTTCTCTCTCTTCCTCCCCCCTCTCTGTTAATGTCTTCCGTTTGTGTCTGTTTCTCTCTCTCTCTCTCTCTCTCTCTGTCTTTTCCTTTTAAACGCGTATCGATATTTCATCGGGTTTTAAAAATTATCATTTGTATTTTTAATTGTTTTTTTTTTTTTCTTTACTATTACTTAGTCGATTTCAGTCCGGTTCACCCACGCGAGGTTAAACGTCGCGAAACAACAACAAAAATACGATTAAACGGACAAACAAATAAAAAAAAAAAAAAAACGCGTGAGAAAACATGATGGCGGGTCGCCCACGAGTCATCATCGGATTTCCACGCAGTATAAAAAGGCGAAAAACTCAAATTTTATTGTTATTATTATTATTATAGTTGTTGTTTTTTATTGACCAAAAAAAAAAAACGAAAGAACAAACGAAACGACGACAAACGCGGAGAATCAAAAACAAACAAACAAACAAGTAATTATAATAATAATAATAATTTTTTTTTTTTTTTAATGGAACCAAGACAATGTTGAACCGGAATTGAACCGAAAATGTTATTTTTTTTTTTTTAAACGTGAATCGATGGATGAATCGATTGATCGATCGATTAATCGATGAATGAGAAAAATCGATCGATCGTTTATTGTTATTATTATTATTTGTATTGTTCCACCGGGTGGTTCGATTAGCTAACGGTCGACGCCTTATAACTAATGAGATTTAATTTATTATTATTATCATCATCATCATCATCATTATAAACGTGAATGACGAATTTCAAATTTTAAAAAAAACCGTTCAAGGACGTTTTGTCGACTCGTTCGTTTCGTTTTGGCGGGAAAAAAAAATGAACAAACCGAACGGATATGAATTCGGATTCGATTCGGATTATTCGCGACCGGATTTTTCTTTCTTTCTCTCTCTCTCTCTCTCTCTCTGTCTTTTTCTCTCTCTTTTTGTCTTTTCTCCGTCGTATAAATTATTTATTTTACGTCTCGTGACACGACGTTTCATTATTATTATTATTATTTTTTTTTCTGTTATTTTGTTCGAAATGGAAAAAAATGGAAAACTCTCGCGTGATTTTTTTATTCGCACGTCTTTTTTTCGTGTATATAAATATAAAAAATCTAATTACACGTTTATAAACCGCGTGCTTCTTTAGATTTTTAATTTTCTCTCTCTCTCTCTTTCTCTTTCTCTCTTTTTCTCTCTTTCGTAAAAATTTGTAATTTTATATTTTCGTTTTAATTTTGGCGGGAAAAAGTTTTTTTTTGTCTTTATTAATGATAAGAATCGCGGTCGGTTTGTAAAATTTCAAAAAGTTTTCTTTTTTTTTTTTTTTTTGGAGAAAATTTTATCCGGAGAAAAAAATTTATCTCGTTTAATTTAAAAAAAAAAAAAAAAAAAATTGAAACTTTCACCGAAAAAAAACGAAAAAAGTGTATTAAACGTAAGGAAAGTTCATGATAAGTTTTCTAAAACCACGACATGGTTGAAAATTTAATTTTTATTTTCGCGCGTGAGTTAGATTAGAGGGTGGGGAGAAGGGTGGAATGGAATGGGATGAGGGGCTAAGGAAAGGGGAGTTAAGGAAGGAAGGAAAGAAGGTGTATATGTGTGTGTGTGCGCGCGCGCGCGTTTTCGAGGATTAAAGGGTTTATCGGTGGGAAGGGTATAAAAAAGGGAAGAGGGGGGGTAGTATTAGTATTAGTAGTAGTATTAGTAGTAGTAGTAGTAGTAGAAAATATAAGAAAAAAAAATGTGTTGGAAAATCATAACAAAAAAAAAATTAATTTTTTTTTTTTTTTTTTTTCTCTTTCAATTATCATTTCAGGATTCGAATGACGAACAACAAAAAGAAGCAGAAGACGAAGATTTAGAAATTTCGGTTGATTTTTATCATCAAAATGAAGGATCCTCCATTCATGATTCGGATGTTTTTACGGATTCGCTCAACGGAATGATGGCGACGACGACGACGACGAGGAAAAACGAAAGAAAATCATCGGAAATTGAAAATGATAAAAATATTTCATTTAAATCAAAAGGAGAAGAAGAAGAAGAAGAAGAAAAAGAAGAAGAAATAGGGAATAAAAACGACGCGGAAGTAGAAAAACCGTTAAAAAATTCGATTTGGAAACGAGAATCGAGCGGGGATGACGTCATCGACGGCGTCGGAGAAATTCGTCGCGAAAAATTTTGCGGTAAAAAGTACGACGATGATGACGTAATAATGGGCAACAATACGAATCCCGATAGGAGAAGGATATCGAATGAAGATTCGAAATTGAAAAACGAAATGAATTTTTTCGACAGCATTGACGATTCTCTCGACGTCGACAGAGACGACAGCCTTATTATAAATTCATCTCATTATTGCAACAACGACAACGGCAACAGCATGAAATCATTTGAAAACGAAGCCATGATAGAATTATTAGATTCATTAGAAATTAATTTTAACGAATTCGATTGAAAATTGATAAACCTGATTTCTTCTGCTGTCGTCGTGTTTGTCACGTGATCGTCGCTCGAAGTTTGAAATGATGAACCGTTAATTGCTCAACGTTCTAGTCTATCATCAAATTCGACGTTTTATTTTATTTTATTTTATTTTTTCGAGATGTTTCGATTTCCAGCGCACTTTTATACTTTCGATGATGATCAGACGACAGGAAAGAAAAAGGGCATCGAATGAAACGAATTCGTTACGTCATTTCCTCCCCCCATCGACATAACCGAATCGTAAAAAGGTTTAAAAAAAATTTATATTTTGCACTGAAAAATTATTTAATTACCAAAAGCAATTTATTATTATTATTATGATTATTATTGTTATTAATAATTATTAATCTTTGTCAATTAGGAAAAAATAAAAAAATAAAAAAATGACATAAATAAAATTGTAAATAAATAAATAAATAAATAATAATAATAATTTTTTTTAAAAAATTAAATTATTGTAATTATATTTAGTAATAATTATAATTTTAAAATTAAACAATTAAATAAATGAAAAATTAATTTTGTTTGTTGCTTGTTTGTTTGTTGAATTGTTTGTTTTTTTTGATTGATTGTTGTACATGTTTGAATAGTTTAAGGAGTAGGTGAGGGTGGTGGTGGTGGTAATTCACCGAAATTTGTCAGACAAATAAATTCGTTAGCTAAATTGTTTTTATGTTTAGGTTGAAACGAACACTTATTAAGATTTAATAATTTATTTGCAAGTTGTTCCATTATTTGACCAGTACATAAAATAATTTTACAATTTGATTTTTTCAAATGATTTATCGTTTGAATTGTTTTAGTTAAACATTCTTCGGATAAAAATGGTGGATCAACAATCACAACATCGAATGAATTGACATAATTTTGTTTTATATTGTATGGATCATTGTAATCGTAAAAAATAAAATCATCACCATATTTGGAAAATCTTTTATCAAATTCTAATAATTTGATATTCATATTTAGTTTTCTATGTGTGATAATTGATTTTATTGTTGGATATAATGTTGGACATGATATTAGAGCTATGTTACCATGTTCGTCACATAATGAAATAGCAGCATTTGAGAGTGTACGAGTTGTGTCATCATCATACCAAAATTGACTCAATTGCCAATTTTCCGTTACTTTTTCATTATCGTTTTGATTTAATTTTTGTTCCTGAAGAAATTCTTGTAATGCTTTTAACGTTTCTGCTGAGAGTTGAGGTGGTGCGTCGTCAATTTCAGACATCATTTTACTATACACTCCAAGTTAAATTTTAACCAGTTGAGGTTATGTTTTTCAATTGAGTTCTACGTAGGAAAAAAATTTAAAAACGACGAAATAATTATACTCGAATTTAATCAAACGATATTATTAACGTTTTAAAAATTACTCACCCCTTTTTAATAACTGTTTAGAGTATTTTCAAAAATAATATAAAATTTATCAACATTGAAACGGATGTGGTGAAACTACATGAAATTTGTGCCACGACAAAGGAAAAAATCAAAATAAACAAAATGTGAATTGCCAGATACAAATGACCAGAATCAAAGCTTTTTTTTTTTTTTTTTAATTATTTAATTGTCAAACAGAGAATATTAGTTGCTTTAATAAGTGCAATTTTCAAATCAGAAATATAAAATTTACATACGCATATAATTTTATTTATATTTACGTATGTATAAATTGTAAGTAATCTTTTAATAAAATCCTATACGTTATAGGTTAAATAAATTTTTTTTTTTTTTTTTGAAAAATTTTTCTCGTTTCGTACATATATTTACGCATTTATCATAATTTCATTTGATTTTCTAACAAGTTTTAAATATTTGTAGTCTATTACATTAAAAAAAAATAATAATAATGATGGTATTCTTTATAATTAAACGTAATTATCATTTTTTTTCCAAAGCCGTATCAGTTAAAATGACAGATAGTAAAACACCAAGCAAAGGTGAGGGAGAAGAAGGAAAAAAAGAATTAATCAAACCGGAAGATGAAGATGAAAACGATGACGAATCGAAAAAATTAGAAATGGATGATGGGAAAAAAGAAGAAGAAGAAGAAGAAGAAAAGATAAAAAAACAAGCTCTTTTAGATTACATTGAAGAACTTGAGAAAAAAGATAAGAGAAGACAGGAAGCGAGAAATAAAAATATTAATGTTAAAAGACCCGAAGAATCATATTTTTCAAAATTGGATTCGAATTTGAAAAAAAATACAGCATTCGTTAGAAAAGTTAAAAATTTTTCAGCCAATCAATTAAATGGTTTACTCAACGATTTAAAAGTTTTAAATTTATCTAAATATGTGACTGAAATTGCATCTGCAGTGACTGAAGCCAAATTAAAAGTTGCCGATATATTACCAGCTTGTGAATTGTGTTGTGCACTACATAGATTATATGCCGATTTTGAAAATGCTCTCATGGAGTGTTGGAAAAAGTCATTGACAATAAAAAGTGATGAACCAGTCTCGAATAATCTTAAATATAAAATCGATTTAAAATTATATGCAGAATTGGTTTTGTTAGGACTTTGGGCAGTACCACCTCCATCGAGAGGTTTACAACTGTTAGGTTCGATAATATTAAGTTTAGTTCATAATCAAAAAGAAGATTTTAGTAATATATCAGCCATATTAAGTTTTCTTAGAAGTTTCGGAGATGTTTATGCCGGTTTGATACCAAGAGAAATGGCTGAAGCATCTAAGAAATTTAATATATCAATTCCTAGTATGACAATTATACCAAGTGAAAAACATAAAACAGTTAGGCAAGTTTTTCAAGATTATTATGATTCATTTTGTAAGCACTTAATTAAAAATCACAATGAGTTACAGAAATTTGAAACTCATAGTCGAAGCATTTTACAAACAAAAGGTAAGAAAACCTTTTTCGAATAATTTTTATAAAATACATTGTTCCTTTTTTATTATTAATATTAAATTTTGTGTTTTGTTAACATGACATTTTTTTATATATATAAAAATTATTTATTGAAATTAAATAATGTTCAGAGTTGTGTGAGTTTGTCGTTTTGAAACAATTAAAAAATTTACTCGAGTGTTGGTTTTTTGTGTAAACGAGTTCAAATTTTTATTTTTCAGGTGAATTAAGTACTAATAGAAAAGCAGAATATAATGATTTATTAACGGAATATAAAAAATTATTGGATTATGCTAGACAATTTAGTGAAATATTAAATGCTCCAATGCCAGTGCTGCCAATAGAAGAAGTTACAAAATCAGAAACGACAGTCATTGACGAATTACTTTTAAGTCACGATGAAAGATTTCCACTGGGAATATGGGAAGATGAAGAAACTCAAAGATTTTACGAATGTTTACCGGATTTGCATGTTTTTCTACCGCAACTCCCTATCGATGCGCCCAAACAAAAAAGGACGTCGATATCGGAAATAAGCGAAGAAATATTAGACGAAGAAATAGAATTGCCAACGGATGAAACGGACGAGGAAAAAAAACCGGAAACGGAACACGAAGTCGAAGCTGTGACGGATACTAAGACGAAATACATATTCAACGATTTTTTATTTCATTTACCGAGTTGTTGCAATAGGGACACGGTCGATAACATGGCCATCGAATTCGTGTTGAATTTAAATACGAAACACAATCAGAAAAAATTAGCCAAACATTTGTTCGGAGTTAATAGAACGAGACTCGATTTATTGCCATTTTATTCGAGATTGGTTGCCACGATTCATTTGGTGGCACCCGACGTTGCCAGTAAGATTTTCCTTCCTTTCTTCCATATTTATTTTATCGCGTAAATAATTTTCATTTATATATATATATTTTTTTTTTTTGCAGCCGACCTTTGTCAAATGCTCAAACAAGATTTCCTTTATCACGTTCAAAAAAAAGATCAAATAAATATCGAATCGAAAATAAAAGTCGTTCGATTCATCGGCGAATTGATTAAATTTAAAATGTATTCGAAATTGGAAGGTTTATTTTGCATAAAAATCCTGCTCCAAGATTTCAGTCATCATCATCACATCGAAATGGTTTGTAATTTATTCGAAACGTGCGGACGATTTTTATTCAATCATCCCGAGAGTCGACAAAGAACCAAAGTTTATTTAGGTTGGTTGAAATAATAATTTAATTTTCCCTTTTTTTTTTCCCCTCCCGCCCCCCCCCACATTTGATAAAATTAATTGATGCTGTGATTCGATCGTTACAGAACAAATGATGAGGAAGAAATCCGTCATGGCACTGGATTCGAGGTATGCCACGATGACGGAAAATGCATTCTACGCCGTCATACCTCGCGAGGGTGGACAAACCGTTAAAAAAGAAAGGCCACCCATACACGAATTCATAAGGCAAATATTGTACCACGAATTGAGTAGGCAAAACGTAAGCATGGTCATTAAACTCTTACATAAAGTCGATTGGAACGATCCGGAACTTTCGGCTTACGTCGTCAAATGTTTGGTCAACGCTTGGAACGTTAAATATTTCAATATAAAAACATTGGCCGGATTGGTGGCCGACATATCTCGTCACTATGAAAAAATTCAAATTGAAGTTGTCGACGGAGTATTGGAAGACATACGACTCGGTTTGGAAGTCATGGAACCCAAATATAATCAGAGACGCATCGCCATGGTCAAATATTTAGGAGAGCTTTATTATTATCGCATGGCCGACAGCAGCGACATATTGAAAGTCCTTTACCTTCTCATATCGCTCGGAGTGACTTTCAATTACAACAATCCATCCCCTCTCGATCCTCCGGGTCACACGTTTCGATTGAGTTTGGTATGCGTTCTCCTCGAAACTTGCGGACAGTATTTGAGATCCGCGACGTCTAGGAAAAAATTGGATTATTTTTTGGTATTTTTTCAAAATTATTTCTGGTACAAGTTCACGGATCCGTTTTGGACGACGGAAAATCCTTTTCCCCCGAGATTGAGACACATGGTGAGAGATTGCCTGCTCAGCGTTCGTCCGAAAATGATCATTTTTCACAATTATGCGGAATCTCAAGAGGCCGTGGAAGAATTGAAAAAACATTTTCTGTCGAAATTAAAAACGGAAATCAAACAACCGACGGCGGCGACGACGACGACGACGACGACGGGCGTCGGAGAATTGAATCCCATCGATGAAAAAGATGAGAGCGAAGTGGAATTCGTTGAGGGAAACGACGAAGAATGTTGCGAAGATGATGAACGGGAATCGAGCGACGAAGAAAGTCAAACGTTCGAAGGTGGAAATCCGAGTAGTCAAAGTCAAGGTACGTGGAAAGAAAAGAATCGTCCAATTCTCGAAACTCCAAGGAAAATTCTATTTATTATTATTATTATTATTATTTTTCAGGCGAGGACATTCCCTCGATCCTTTCCGAAAGCAACGAAAGTGAAAACCCTACGAAAATGCAGGGAGTTCAAAAGGTCAAGTGTCAAGAAGACGAAGATTTCATGAACGCTTTCGACAAATTGGTTGCCGATCAAATACAGGACAGAATGAGAGAAAGGATAACGCCTCAACAAATCGACATATCCGTTCCTTTGCACGTTCGCGCGAACACGAAAAAAACGTACGAACAGTTGAAGGAGAAAAGCGAAGAAACTCAAACCGTTAATTTTATACTCATGATAAGAAAAGGAAACAAACACTCGTACAAGAGTCTCAACGTTCCCATAATGTCCGAACTCGCGATCAATTTAAAAGAACAGGAAATGCTCGAAAGAATGGAAAAGGAAAAGGTTAAAAAATTAACACTGGATATAAACGAAAGGCTCGAAGAGGAAGATTATCAGGTATTGTTGTTGATGATAGCAACCTTTTCGCGCGGGTATCTTTCGAAAGCCATACCTCGTCATCATCATCATCTTTTCCTTTTCTGTTTTCTTTCGCAGGACATGATAAATCAAACTCAAAGGCCGGCAGTTTCGAATTTGAATAGAGAAAGGAAGCAGAAGTACCAACATCCGAAAGGTGCACCGGATGTTGATTTGATATTCGGTTCGAGTAAAGGAAAATGAAAATGAAAATCACGGTGGGAAAAAATTTCTTTTTTTTTTGAAACGAGAGAGAGAGAGTGAGAGAAGAAGGTAGAGGAAAAACCGGAAATGCAGGGAAAACCGGAAACAAATGTGAATGATTATTATTATTATTTTGATTTTCTATTCTTTTTTTTTTTTTTTTTAATTTGTAAAATAATTAAAATTGACAACAAAAAAAAAAAAAAACAAAAATAGGTGAAATAATTTTTAAACAAAAAAATGAAAATGAAAAAGGTCAGTAAATTAAATAAATAAAAAGTTTTAATTTTATTATTTATTATTATTATCATTATCATTACACATTAATATTATCGACAACGTCATCATTATTATTATCATCATTTTTTCATATCTCGTACGACGTTTCATTTTATTTTCAAATTAAAATTATCATCATTTATTTAATAGATTGAACATAATAATAATAATAATAATAATTAATTTACAAAATATATATTATATATACACACGAAATGGATTTATTATCATCATTATCATCGTAATAATAATAATAATAATAATTTGAAATATTTTCAGTTCAGTATTCGTCGCTATCCTGTTCAGAATATTTTTCATCGCTGTCGACGGGTTCGGTGGCAACATAAGCAACGGAAAATCCTTTGTAATTAATCGAATCGTCAGACCGGAAACGTATCAAAAGCGATTCGGCAACGGAATACATATCGGTCGGATTCTGTCGATTTCCAAAGAAGGTAAATTAAAAAACTTTTCGAAAAAGACTAGGGGGCGGAGGGGTGGAGGGGGGAGGGGAGGTGGAAACTCACCGAATTACCGCAAAATTTCCCATACATTTGTCCGCTGTCGTCTAAACCGTTATAAACTTCGACGTAATCGTATCCGCATTCGGCTTCATCTTCAATTTCAAACGTCAGAAACGTCAAATGTACATTTTTACCAGGTTCGGCTTCAATCGACCAATCACAATCGGCTCTGTCGTCGTAATTATGGTCGCCATATTTCGAATGCGAATAAAAATGTTTGACTCTGTTGGTGGCTTGCAAATGACCGCCGCAAACTTTAAAAAGAAATGTTTCGTTATATTACGTCAACGAGATAGTACGGTCTTTTAACGTTAAACTTACCAGTCGTGTGCGTCGCTCTAAAACCTTTTCTCTGAACGGAAGTGTCGCTTTTGAAAACCATGTAAATTTGATTTCCGGTCGCGATTATATTATGTGGAATTTTAGACCCGCAAAATCTACCGAGCGTTCTATCTTCCGGCGAATCGCCATCGTATAAAACCACGTGATCGTATGCACATTCCTGATGTGGTTCTATTTCGAATTCGTTAAATATCTACAAATCAATCAATCAATCAATCAATCGGGATGATGATGATGATGATTCTCCTTCGGGAATTTCGAATCTTACCAATTTTATACGATGTCCCGGAGTCGTTATGAGCTGCCAAACGCAATCTTTTTTCGGCGGATAATAATCTGGAAAATTGGGGGACTGCAATTGACCCGTGGGTGTTTTTATGTGATATTTACATTCACCCTCTTTGCAATCGTGACCGTTTTCGTGTAGCATGAATCCGTTACGACAAGAACAAACATAGGATCCGATCGTGTTTTGACATTCGTGTTGACAACCCCCATTATCAATGGCACATTCGTCCATATCTGACATACAAAAACATTTTTAAAAGGTAAAAAAAAAATTTTTTACAATCTTTTTCGTAACGGAAAAAGTACAATTGTAATACCTGTGAAAAAAACAGCGGCGAATCCAGATTTTTGTATGCTGTTATCAGATGTGAATTCGACTCTCATGCTGTTGCTTTCTGACGTGATAAGACGAGGGATTCGTATTCCGCAATACACTCCGTGACGTTTTAATATATTTTCCGGTAATTTACTATGAACTTCGACTTTATCGTATTCGCATTCTTGCTGATAAATCTACGATTAATAATAATAATAATAATTTATTCGTTTAGCTGAGAAAAGGATAATGAAAAAATTATTATTATTATTATTATTACTCACGTTATTACCCTCTAAATCGAAATGTGTAAAATTTAACGTTATCTTATATTGGGGAGGTGCTATGATTTCCCAAATGCATTTCTTATCACTCGGATATATTTCCGGAAATGATGGACTCGTTATGGTACCGTTTGACGTTTCGAAAATACCACCGCAAGCATCTGAAACAAACGTGGTAGTAGTAGTAGTAGTGGTAGAAAGGGGGAAGGGGAAAGTTTTTTCCGGTTTCTTTCGATTGGATCACCTTCGCAATGTTTTCCATCGGAATGTAATTCGTAACCGATTTTACAAGCGCATTCGTATGTTCCCAATGTGTTGACGCATTCGTGTTCGCAACCGTGGTCGGTTGTTTTACATTCGTCGAATTCCACCATGAAACTTGCCGAAAAACCCGCTTTTTGCACGGTTGAATCCGAAACGAATTTAATTTGTAATTTGTTCGATGAGGATCTCACATCCGGTGGAAGTTTATAACCGCAATAAGTACCCAAAAGTGGTGAATCCGGTAAATGACCGTCTCTAACTTCGACGTAATCGTAAACGCAATTGTCGTGATTTTCAACCTTTAACAAAAAGAAAAGAAAATTAACCGTTTCCGGTTTGTGTATGTGCGCGAGAGTGAAATTAATTCTAGAAAATTCATTAATTAAACTCACTTCGAACGATTGAAATTTTAATGCGACTTGATATCTTTCCGGTACTGTTAATTTCCATATACATTCTTTACTAGGTTGATAATCTTCTGGAAAATTCGGTGATTCTAAATGTCCGACATCATCTTCTAAATAAATTTCACCACCGCAAATTGCTGGAAAAACATTTTATTTTTTATCATCGTGGCATTAGATTTTTTAAGTTTGATTATTGTATTACCTTCGTAAGATGCTTGTAAACCTCTTCGATTAATCGATTTTCCGGTTGTTATATACGTTACCAACATTCTCGAACCTACGGATTTGACAATGAGTGGAGTTCTTGGCGCACCGCATAATTTTGCTGGAGTAAAAAAAGGGGGAAATGGTTAACAATATCGATTTTAATTTCATTTCCGGTTTAAAAAACAAACCTATTATCGGTGATTTGTGCCAGTAACCATCTCTTATTTCGAGATAATCGTTCCTACATCCTTCCGATTCGTGAATATCGAGATCCGTTACGTTAAGTATTATTTTTTCACCGTGTGTTGCCGTTATCCTCCATTCGCATTTATCACCGTTTGGAGAATTCAACGTCGAATTTCCATAAGTCGGTGATGTAAATGTTGCGCTGTTTTCTTGAAAAGTTCTTCCGCATTCTACCAATGACAAAAAAGAAATTAGATTTCCCTACGATTTTCCTCCTCCTCCTCCTCCATCTTCTTCTTCCACTTTACACAAACTTACTATAACATTTATAAACTAAATTTGTTTGAGCAATATCTCCTTCGCTTAAACGTATTCTCTGTCCAATTTCCGGTCTTTTTTTCATTCCTGCTTTATCCAATGGTAATATCGTGTCCAAATAAGTACCCTGTAAAATAATAATAATCACAACGTTTTACGATTTTCTTTTAGGGGGGAAGAGGAGGGGGCGGGGGAAAAGAAATCAACCTTTGAAAATGTGTTTCTAGCATAATGCATTATGGAATCGTAATCGTATGGAAGACCGAGTGAATTGACTTCATCTTCGCTTAATTTATTAAAATTATATTCTTGTCCTAAAAAAAAAAAAAAATAATAAATCGTGTCATTAACAATCGACGGCCACTTACAAAAAGAGATGATGATAATAATAATGTAGATGGAAAAAAAAACCTTCCATACCTCCCATAATGTTTTCTCTCATTATTTGTACGTGATTATCTCTATCCGGTCTTGTATGTTCGTGCCAAAAACCTACAACGTGTCCTAATTCGTGTACCACGATACCAAATTTATCGCAATTTTTACCTATTGATATAGCTTGTGCACCATTTCCTCTTTTTCCAACAAACGAACAACACCTTTTTGACAAAAAAAAATTAATATTATTTATATTTTGTTACCATTTAGTTTCGTTTAGACTACTTACCCGCATGGTCTTTCCGTGAATATTATATAATTTGGATGATCTTGAACTGATCTTTCGACAAATCTGACACACGTGAAATTTTCCCAATGTCTAAGAGCTTGTTTGAACAAAGCTTTGTGTTCACCACTAAAATTACCATCGATTTCATATGGTATGACGCCATGATCCCAAACTCTTTCCTTTCTTGCAGTTGCCGCTCTCGTTACTCTCCTAATTAAATATTAATATTAATCGTAAACGACAAACAAACAAACGTTCACGTTCGTGGGTTAATTTTTTATTCATTAAACTTCAACACAACTTACTATTATTATTAATAGAACAATCACCAAAAGTTTTTATTTATAAGAAATGTGTGAGAATTATCACGAGAATGTTATCATATTAAAAAAAAAAAAGAAAAAAAAAAAAAGAGTTTTATAAAAATTAGCCAACAAACAAAAAGGAAATGAAAAATTCTATGAAATCACTTCCGAGATTCGAGAATAAAAAAAAAAAAAATTAACGATATGAAAAAGAATGAGTCGTTTGTTTTTTCTTAACTGACACTCGAAAATTATTTTTATTTTTTTTTTACAAAAAAAAACGTTTAACGGTTTTTAAATATAATAAAAAAATATTAAATATACCTTAAATAATTTAATTATCGCATTGAAAAAAATTTTAAAAACGTTTTAAATATAATTTTATCCGTTTGAAATAATATTAACAATTGTAATTTGAAATGATAATCCGCCATTTTTGTTATATTAATATGCTGTGGAAAGGGGTAAACGATACGTAATCGCATAACCAATGATTTCATAGATTAAACAAAACGTTTTATTGTTTTTTTTTTTTTTTTCATAAGTTGGCATTCATTATCAGGTGATGATTATTGTTTTGTTATTTGTCCACCAAAATCATTCATCAATTGGCTTTGCAAGTAGCATGTTGGGTAAAATTTTTTCGTCTTTTCAAATAATAAATTTTTAATTTTTACAATTGCGAAATCGTTTAAAGATAGTTAAAAATAATCGATATAGATATAATATTAAATATTTATTAAGTTTTTTTAAATGAAATACGTTTGTAAAATGAAAAATTAGCGTTTTTTTATTAATGGCGTGCCATGATGCTAAATTTTACCAGGTAATGTAATATAAGAAAAATCATCTTACCTTTTTTTATTGAAAAATTGTTTTTCGATTTTTGTTTTATTATTATTATTATTATTATTGATTTTAATAATGTTTGTTTGACGTTGTTTGTTTTTGCCATTTTTTATAATTCGACGTTTATTTAATTTAAATAATTTTCTTTTCTTTTTTATCATTTTTAATTTTTTTTTTTTATTTTTATCACGATTTATGTATTTTTCTTCTTCTTCGTAGTGGTCATCGTCGTCGTCGTCGTCGTCGTCGTACCACGACGAAGACGACATGTCATCTTTTTTAACAATAATTTTTTTTTTATATTTTTCATCGTTTTTTAATTTTGCTTTACGTATTTCCAACAAACCTTCCTCTTCTATTTGTAAACCATCCAAAATATCTTTTATATCATCCGGATATGATTTATTTGCTTTGTGCATTCGTAATTCGATGTCGTAGTTGATGTTTGGGAGAGCAACATCCCCATAAAAACCATCTAAAAAAACAAAAATTGAGGAGGGGGGGGGAGGATAATAAATATAAATTTTCATTATTGTTTGTTTAAAAAAAAAAAAAAAAAACTTCATTGTTGTATTTAACGATTGAAAGTCATAAAATTTTTTTTTTTTTTTTTTTGCAATTTCGACCGGTCATTTTCCTTTTCCCCACCCTTCCCCCCTCCCCGTTTTTTATTTGGAATTTCATACAGAAAAAAACCCTAAAAAACAGTTTTTTTTAATAACGTGACGCCATCGTTTACCCATTCGAGTAAAATGATTTGAGAAAAGGAAAAGAAATAAACGAAAAAAAAAAAAAATTTTCCTCTCTCTCTCTATCTCATCGTTCTGCCACGTGTCGTGGAAATCATTACACAAAAATTTTTTTTTTCGAATCGTTTTTCCTGTCTGTCTTTAATAATAATTATTTTTTTCATTTTAACGGATTTGATTTATAGAAAAATTTGTCTTCTGCTTTTTTTTTTTAATTTTTGAAAGTCGTCTTAAACGTGGTGGCAGTTTTCCAAAAAAAAAAAAAAAACGCATTTTAATTATCATTCCATTTATAATTTAAAAAAATTTTTTTTTTCGTTTCATTTAATTATTATTATTATTATTATCATTATTATAACTTTGTTATTTTGTAAAATTGTTTAAAAAAAAAAAAAAAAAAAAAACTGATTTTGTTCCAGGGTTATTAATAATAATAATAATAATAGAAATAATTTTGTTTGTCCGTTTCCAACGCGACTGGAAAATTTTTTTTCGTTTTTTTTTTGGGGAGGGGAACGGGAGGAGTTCAGCCGGGAGTGGTGGTGTACTTCTGTGATCCAACTACTCGGAGGTTAGGTGTAGAGAATGTTTTAAGGGGAGGGGGTTTTGGGATTGAATTTTCCACGTTGAATAGGCGTCCGCTAGGGGTAAATGTTCGACTTGGATGCCTTGGGGGAGCCCCGAGGTAGCCAGTTTGAGTTCGAAAAGGGAAAAAATTGGCCCAAAAGTCTCACCGAGTTGAGAGTCGTGGGTTCAAATCCTGGGAGTGGGAGTTCAGTTTTAGCTCGTTCAAACAGGAACAGACCTGTACCTACATAAGGGGGATAAGTGACCTTGGAACCCTTTCGAGGCATTGAGGATGTGTCGAGGGGATGAATCTGGGTACTTAATTATAAAATAGGGAAAATAGGCAGCTCGAGACTGTCTCTCGGAGGGTAAAAAGGGAAACTATCGGGATCTTCAGGTGGGATTCCCTCTTTCGCGAGTGTGAACCTGATAGTTCTGGCTCAGGAGGGAGTCGAGGCTGAAATACAGGTTCTAACTCCCACGAACGCCCCTCCTTCCGGGAAAGAGCACGATGAAACACGTTCAGGAGTTTTAGTTGGGTAGTGGCTTTGGCTGAATCCCACACACTCCCTGTTAACGGGTGGGGAGGTTAGTGCGAAATGCTGCATTTCTCCTGGGTTAACAAAACAAAAAGGGGAGGGAGAAGAGAGGGGAGAGAGGGGAAAAGAGCCTTACCTGATTTGCAGGGATCTAAATCGACATCAGTTGAAAGTTTTAATGGAAACGTCGTCGTTAAAAGTTCTTCAATGGTAAATTTGTGTTTGTTCTTTGCCACATGAGCGGTTTTAATTAGAACAAAAAGAACTAAAATGGTTTTCCACATTTCCCTCCAGTGTAACAACTTTCTTACGTCACTTCCGTTTTGTTTCGTTTTTTTTTTTTTTTTTGCTTTTTTTTCCTCACTGAAACAAAAAAAAAAAAAAATTTTTTTTGAAATTAATTAAATAATCGATCATCAAATTTTTTTTTTTTTTCTCCATCGTCTTGATCGTAAATTAAATTTTTTTTTTTTTTAATTTTAATAATTGTCTACTGACACGGTACATTTATCCGTTACGTTATGCGTAATTAATTAGTCGGAGACTTAAACAAACAAAAAAAAAAAAAATTAATTAAAACGTTTTTTTTTTTCTTTTTCGAATTCGTTTATAAATCATCGAAAATTCGATAAATGAATAATTACTTTCGATATATCGATCACTAATGATTTAAAAATGGAGAGAAAAGAAGTAAAAAAAAAAAGAGGAGGAAATGAAAAAGTTGAAAAGCGGAAAGAGAAAGAAACAAAATCAATAATAATAATACGATAAATTTTTTTTTTTTTTTTGTATTTTTTTTGACTCGTGGCAGAAAGTGAAAAGTCAACGAAAGGAAAATTTTTTTTAAAAAAAAAAATGACGTTTGTTTTTACTTGGAACAATTTTATATCCGGTGAATTCTTTTTTTTCTTTTTTTTTTTTTTTTATTAAACCGGAAGTCGATTTTTTTTTTTGTTATTTAATTTATAAAGAAAATTTTTTTTAAAAAATGAACGTCGAAATATTTTCATATCCGGTTTTTGTTATTTCATTGTTTGAAAGAAAAAAAAATTGAAAGTTGTGATGATGATGATGATGATGACGGTAATGTTAAAGGTGATGGTGGTGGTGGTGATATAAATAATAATAATGATGATGAAACGTATAGAAAAATATTTTAAAATGTTTTCGTATGGAGAATTTTATTATTTAAAATTCATTCGACGAACGGTTCGAACGCGTCCATCGGTTCGTCGTCCCCATTACGCGATCCGGTAAAGTTGATTCGGTTGTCAAAAAAAAAAAAAAAAAAAAAAAAAAAAAAAACGTGGCAGATGATGTGATAAAATCAAACGAATTGAATTTTTTTTTTTTTTTTTTTTTTAAATTACACAATGGAATCAAAAATGAAAACAGTAAAAAAAAAAAAAAAAATTTTTTTATCAAAAAAAAAATGTTTTAAATATATATATATAAAATCAATCGCGTTTCTAAATTTAAACGACTTCCGCTTTTGTTTAACCGTTTCCTTTTTAATCGGCAACATGAACATGTTTAAATGAAAAATCCAGTTATCAGTTTTTTTTTTTTTGTTTTCATGTTTTTATATTCTCTTATCACCGGGAAGAGGGGAAGATATTTTTCATGTGACACGACCGTATTGTTGTTGTCATTTTATTTATTTATTTATTTTTTTTGTTTCGACTAAAACATTTTATTCGATTCGAATATTCTGGTAAAACGTCATCATCATCATCATCATCATCATCATCATCATCATCATCGTCATAACGATTTAGAATAAAAAAATAATAATAATAATATAAAACGTTTCGCTTTTAATAATTAAAAAAAAAATTTCTTTTTTTTTTTTTCATATAAAAAATTTACACACAATCGTTTCGAACTTTGTTTATTATGTCATTTTTATGACGTCATTTATAGAAAACTTCACAATCTTTTGGGTCGTAAAAGACGTCATACTTTCGAGTAATAAAAAACCGTTTTCGAAAACGAGCTCGGATTTTATAAATAACGAACGCGGATTATTAAATAATTCAAAAAAAAAAAAATAAAAAAAAAAAAAAAACGTTACAATTTTTCGACGTGGTAATAGAAAGCAGAAAATATTTAAAAACTTTTAATAAATGATTTTATTATTTTTAATTATTAACGAAGAAATTTACGTGAAATACGTAAAAAAAAAAAAATTTAAATACGTGGCAGTAGTTTAAAAAAAAAAAAAAAAAATTCGACGTTAGTCAGTAAATAAAATTAAAACAGCCCCAAGCCGTCGTGTCACCAGTTAAGATTACATTAAAATTTTTAATTTATTATTCTCTTTTCATAACGTTTATCATCATTATTATTTATTACGTTTGATCCCTCGTCAAAATAATAATAATAATAATTTAATTATTTATATCGGTTGGAGATCCGATAATAAATTTTAAACTTTTATTATTATTACTATTATTATTATTATTATTAGTATTATTATCATTATTTTAAATTTTAAACACGACAAAAAGTTCCCTAAGGAATTTTCCACAAGTTTTCCAGGTTTTTAACCGATTGGGTTAATAATTAATTTCGTTATCATTATTATTATAATTCATTTTTTCGAAAAAAAAAAAAAAAAAAAAGGAAAAAGGGGAAAATACCGTGTCGGGGATGTAGAAAAAAATCATTATCATCACATTATTATTTTTAACGTGGAAACAGACGATAAAAAAACGAATTTTTAAAATTTTTCCCTTTGAATCGAACGTATTTATTATTATTATTAACGTCGTCATTACGAAAGGCTCGTTTTCCATTTTTTTAAATTTCATCCCTTATCACTCTTTCGTATCGTTATAACCCTCTCCCGTAAAAAGCAGAAGACGTTTTTATTTAAATGTATAAAATAATAAAAATTCTAACGTAATAATAATAATAATAATATTCGTTGAAAGTGAACTCGATAGTACAGTCGGAATGATAAAATTTAAAATGATAAGAAATTAAGTTTTACGCGTGTTTTGCGTAATTATTCGCGTGCGTGAGTGCGCGAGTGCGCGCCAAATTTAATTTTTTTTTTTAGTACTCTCTCGCTTCCGATTTAACATAATGATGATGATGATGATGATGATGATGATGATACTTTTCATGCATCGAAACTTTTGTTAAAAGCAATAGCAATAATAATAATAAATGTGGAGGGGAGCGAGTGGGGGGGACGTGGGGAGCATGCGAAAATGTTGTACTCACGTAAAAATCAAACAAAATTCTTTCCAGCTTCCTTTCGTAATTTATTTTAACATCGTAATAATTATTCCAGCGAAATAATAATAATAATATCATCGTTCTAAGTTATTTAAAATTTTTTTTATGTGATTTCCGACGGGTGGGGGAGGTGAGGGTGAGGAGAAGGGGGAAACGCGCGTTATTCTTTTTTCTTCGATGACGAAAAACGCACGTCAGCGATGATTAATTATAAAAAATAACGGAATTTTTTCATTTTTTTTCACCTTAAAATTTTTCACTCGAAAATACGTTAAATAATAATAATAATAATAAGCACACACACACACGCACGCGCGT